ATGGCAGGCATGAAAGGCTGAGGGTATAGCTGACTCACTGGTGTCTTTACCACTCTCGGGTTCATTGAAAATCAGCCAGTAAATCTTTTTTTTTATTATTATTATTCAGACAGTTTTTTGTTTTTTGTTTTTATTCAAGGTCCAGTCTTCCTGACTTCATAAGGCTGCTAGAGCTCTGAGCACCATGCTTCTTCTTCTTTTTCTTTTAATTGAAAATCCTTTTAGATTTTTTTTATTTTATGCATATGAGTGTGTTCCCTACATGTATGTTTGTGCCCCACACGCGTGCCTGATGCCTGACAGTTTAAAAACCTGCATTAAATCCACTGGAACTGGAGTTACAGCTGTCAGCTGTTCTGTGGTTGCTGGGAACTGAACTCAGGTCTTCGGGAAGAAGAGCCAGTGCTCTTAACCACCCACAGCTGTCTCTGAAGTCCCACACCATCCATTTTATGTTAGGAGAGACCTGTGGGTGTCGCTTAGTGATAAAGTGTGCATTAGGCCCTAGGTTCAATCCCCAGTACTTGGAGGAAGAAAAGCAACAGCAGTTGGCTAGATGTGGAAGCATGTGCTCGCATATCCAGCCTTTGGGAGCTGGAGGGAGTAGGATTAGGAGTTCAAGGTCCTTCTCAGCTACCAGTAAGTTTCAGGCCAGCCTAAGCTATGTGAGAACTTGTTTTAAAAGTGGGGGAGGCAGTAAGAGACACTTCTGAAGGTGGAAAGCCCCTCAGAGACTACGGTTTCCTGGTCGTGTGCTGTCCCCGCTGTGGGAAACAGAGACTGGCCCTTTGTTTTGCGATAGGGTCTTAGTAACTCAAGCTAGTCTAAGGCAGTCCTGTTCCTCAGCCTCCCAAGTACTGGAATTACAGGCATGAACCAGCATGTTCTCTACACTGTGGCCATTTTAAGCCCCACAGATGAAGAAACTATGGCCTGGGGGAAGAGGTAGTGCATGGCTCAGCAGGAGCTCCAAACCAGACAGTCTGACTCCTTGGTGGCCTTAACCACAGTGCTCTAGGGCCCAGCTCCTGCTGTAGTCCTGCAGGCAGTTCTGCTATCTGCCATCAGATTGCCACAGTCCTTGCTAGCTCCGCCAACACCCGTGAGCTGAAGCAACCCCGCCCCTGCCTACCGCTCCTGTTTACAAAATCGGGAGCATACTATGCTGTTTGGAGCTCTGACCAGACACACGGCAAGTACATCAGGTGCGAGACTGGAATCCTGGACTGCCCAGCTCCAAGCACACCAAGCCCTTGGCCTCTCTGGGCTCCAGAACGCCCAGGCATTGCTCTGCTAAGCCCAGCTGCCCTGAGCAGCCTGGGTGGGGAGTATAGCAGAGTTCATCCTGTGCTGTGGTCATCAGGAGCCTGCATTAGTCACTCCTGTATTAGTGCCTCCGTGTGCCAGGAGCTGCTCTAGGAGGAAGGTCTGACGTGCCAACAAGACACAAAGCAGTGGATGTGGTGTGCACACCTGTGGTCCCAGCCTTCAGAGCAGGAGGCTCAGGAGTTCCTCAGGGCCAGCCTTGGCTATGCAGGGAGTTTGTCCACATGTCTGTCTGTGTACCTGTGTGCCTGATTTCTGTGGAAGCCAGAAGAAGGCTTGGGAACCTCTGGGACTGAAGCTACAAACTGGGTGCTGGGAATCAAACTCAGGTCCTCTGGAAAAGTAGTCAGTGCTCTTAACCACTAAGCTATCTCTCTAGCCCCCTGAATTTTGAGTTTTATTTTTATGTGTATATATGAGTGCCTACACATGTTTGTGCACCACATGCATGCCTGATTCCCATGAAGGCCAGAAGCAGGTGTTGAATCCCTTATAGCTGGAATTAGAGGTGGTTCTGAGCCATCTGTTGTGAGTGCTGGGGACTGAACCTAGGTCCTCTGCAAGCGCAGCAACTGAGCCATCTCTGCAGCCCATCTTTTGTTTTCTTGAGGCAAGTTCTCACTATGTACCCAAGCCTGGACTCATATTTGTGATCCTCCTGCAGGAAAGGTCTGTGCCACCATGCCAGGCTTTAAAGGGAGTGTTGAGCTAACTGGGACACATCTAGGGAGGGACAGCCAAGGCAGGAACTGCTTGGAGCCATGGTGCTAATTTACCAACCAGTAACAACAGCGATTACTTAATTATGCTGTACATTATCTTGACAGATGTTACTAGGCCTTTATGGTGATCCTGGCCTTGTGAGTGAGGAATATTCCCTAGAGAATTGAGTCCCCAAGACAGCATAGCCTGAAAAACAAGTCCTTCTGGGTCTGGGGCCCAGAAGGGTTTAGTTAGTAATATTTGATTTTTTGTATGTATATTCTGGTTTTTTATAATTTATTTTTAGGGTTGGAGAGATGATTCCGAGGTTAAGAACCCTGGCTGCTCTTCCAGAGGTCCTGAATTCAATTTCCAGTGGCCACATGGTAGCTCACAACCATCTATAGTGGGATCTGATGCCTTCTTCTGACATGCAGCCATACATGTAGACAGAGCTCTAGTACATACAAATATGCATAAATAAAATATTAATAACAAAAAGATTTATTCTTATGTACTTACCTGGCAGGGGAGATACCATGATCACAAAGGTGGTTTTCCATCGTACTCCAGATGTGCTGACCCCTGCGATTCCCCAAATGCAGGAAGTTCTACCGCATAATGTGTGGTAGTAGGGACTGAATTCGAGCTCTCCCCTGAGGGAAAAAATTATTTTTACTACTTAATGTTTTGCCTGAACGATGGATGTCTGCATACATGCTTGCAATGGATCCTGTGGGACTGTAATTACAGACAGTTGTGTGCTACCTTCTGGGGCCTGGGAATCGAACCTAGGCTTTCTGGAAGACCAGCTAGTGCTCTTAGCTGCTGAACCATCTTTCCAGCCCCTGAATGTATATTCTTTAAAGTGTTTTGGTTTTTCAAGACAGGGTTTCTCCGTGTAATAGCCCTGATTGTCCTGGAACTTGCTCTGTAGACCAGGCTGGTCTTAAACTCACAGAGATCTGCCTGCCCCTGCCTCCTGAATGCTGGGATTAAAGGTGCATGCCACCATGCCCGGCTTAAAGTCGAGATATATATAATAATATATCAACTATGTGTTATAGATGTATACATATATATGTGGTGTGTGTATGTGTCTGTCTACATTTACAATGTGCATATGGAGGTAAGAGAACATAGGAGTTGGCTCCCTTACCATGTGGGTCTCTGTTGAGTTGGGAGTGTCTCAGGGATTGAACTTGTTTCATCAGGCTGGTTGGCAGTCACCTTTATATACTCTACCATCTTGCCAACCCTGGATGTGTATTGTTATTGAGATATAACTTGCATGTGGTACTAAGAACTGGTCCTGAAGACATAGTCCTGCAGTTGCTGCTCTCAGGAGGCTTTCTGTCCCAGGTTCAGTCCCAACCTGGATTATACAGTGAGACCTTGTCTCAAAACATAATAGGGGCTGGAGAGATGACTTAGTGGTTAAGAGCACTGGCTATTCTTCCAGAGGACCTGGGTTTAATTCCCAGCATCCACATGGCAGCTCATAGCTGTCTGTTACTCCAGTTCCAGGAGACCTGACACCCTCACACAGACATACATGCAGGCAAAATACCAATGCATATAAAATAAAGATAAATAAATAAATTCATAGGAAAAAACAGAAAGTAAGAAAGAAAAGGGCAGCCTGATCTACATAGTTTCAGGCCAGCCAGGACTACACAGTGAGACCATGTCTCAAAAAAAAACAAAAAAAAGAAAAAAAAGACAACCTAATAAACAATAATAAAAAACTGAAATGAAGGCAGGCATGGTGGTGCATGCCTATGATCCTCACAGCTTGAGAGGCTGAGATAGGAGGATTGCTTTAAGTTCAAGGCCAGCATAGCTCTACATGGTGAATTCCAAGTGAGCCAGGCATAGTGAGACCATCTCAAAAAGGAAAGGCTCTGTTGAAAGTGCATTCGAAAAGGAGCTAGCCTGGGCTTCCCCTCCACCTTCTCCCACCTGATGGGCACCCATGATGCTTGGGCCAGTGAAGGTGGCACCTGATCTTCCATGCTCCTCAAGGCGTTTCTCTGGCTGAGGAGAAGCAGGACTAGAGAGGAGAGAGCTCTGCCCCAGGATCACTGCTCCCCACTTGACTCCTTCCAGTTTGTGCTGAGAACCTGGGATTGGCACCTCCAAACTCACAAAAGGTACTTAGTGTCTCAGCTGGCCTTTCTGTGGGGTTCCCCACCATCACCGCCACAACCCTCCTTTGCATGGGAAGCAGGCGATGGTGTCGGGAGGAGACAGCAACTCTGCATAGTGACCTAAAGAGCTGCAGAGGGAGCTGGGTATGGCTGCTGGGCCTTTACACCTGTGTGTTCTTGTCACTAAGGGAATAGCTGCTTGTGGCCCCCTAGGGGCATGTCCTCCCACCTGGGACCTCTGCTCTCAGCAGGTTTCTGCTAGTAGCTGCTCTTTGGAATCTTCTTGTGCTTTCAAAAATATCCTGGAGTTAGGCCTCATCCTAGTGGTGCAGGACTATACCCCAGCTACCCAGGAGGCAGAGGCAGGAGGATCAGGAATTCAAGGCCAGCCTGGGTACATCTGGAGAGAAGAAAGAGTGATTGGATATAATGTCCATGCCTGTCATCCAGCACTTGGGGAAGCGAAGGCACAAAGATCACAAGTTGAAAGTCATCCTTGGCTACATAGGGAGTTGAAAACCAGTATGAGCTACATAAGACCCTGTTTCACATATATATAAACAAAAGGAAGACAGGTGTGGCTCAGCTGTAGTGGGTCTGTCTGGCATGCCTGAGACCCTGGGTTCTGATCTTAATATTGGGTAAAGAAAGCTTCAGGTGGTGGAGATCGTGTGTTCCCTGGATGAAGCAAGGGGCAGATCTTGCTTAAGTTAACTTCTTACTCCCACCTTGGTCTCTGACTCCAACTGGGACAAGAGAATGCGGGTGTGTGTGTGTATGGGGGGTGCTTCGGAGCACACCTGACCCCTCTCTCCCCTGCAGTGTACCACTGGGTGGAGATGCGGACCAAGATGCGCATCATGGGCTTCCGGGGCACAGCCATCAAGCCGCTGAATGAAGAGGCAGCAGCAGAGCTGGGTGCTGAGCTGCTGGGCGAGGCCACCATCTTCATTGTGGGCGGAGGCTGCCTGGTTCTGGAGTACTGGCGCCACCAGACTCAGCAGCGCAACAAGGAGGAGGAACAGAAGGCAGCCTGGAATGCGCTGCAGGACGAGGTGGGCCGCCTGGCACTGGCCCTAGAAACTCTACAGGCTCAGGCACAGGCAATGCCCTCTTTGAGCGCCCTGGAGGAGCTCCGAGCTGAGCTGCGGGAGGTGCGCACCCAGGTCTGCAACGAGCACTCCACTCCCAAGTGCCAAGTAGCATCTTCCAAGAAATAGTCGGCTGCTGGGGCCCCCAACATGACCTGACCTGCCCTGGCCCAGCAGAAGCCATCGGGACCTTGATGCAACTGTGACCTTTGGTGGTCACCTCTTACTGACAAAATCTGGGCATTTCCCCCCAGGGAGCACAGCAGCAAAAGTGTTCAGAGCCCGTCAGCTGCTGACTAGAGTGCTCAGCCCCAACCAGGAACCACGTTGGACTTTCAAGATCTTGCCAGCTATCTCCCCACTGCTCTGACAAAGGCAAAAATGAAAACAGGGCTCCAACCTGATCAGGACCTGGTTAGTCCTGCCATCAATGGAGAGACTTCTTCCTTTGATGGGTGAAGCCCTCAGGTCATCAAAGCCTCTGTTCTTGTGGAGGAAGCCTGCAGTTGATATGCACATTCTCTCCCCCATCCTTGGTGCAGACCCCTCCTGGCTGTCTCAGTCGCAGCCCCACTTCCCTGTCCTCAGGGTCCTTGGACCTTGTTTCCACTGACACCATATTTCCTCCTGTCCTTCCTCAGTGGCATTTCTCAGGCCAGTGGGTTAGATGTCCATACATGTCTGTCTGCCCCCTCCCCACTTCTGGAACCCTGGGTCTCCCCAGGCATGGCATGTCACTAGGAATTGTTCTCCCGCAATTCTGGAAGCCAGCAGCGAAGGTCAGGATGTTGGGGGGCTCCACTCCCTCTTCTGACATCAGGGCTCCAAGACTTGTGGACTCTGTCTTGTCTTCATGTGGCCTTCCCTCCCTCTTCTGTCTCTTGGACACCTGCCTTGAGTACAAGGCCCACCCTAAACCTGGGGTGACCACATTGAAAGATCCGTAACTACATCTCTGAAGACCCTTTTCTAAATCGGGATACACTGACAGGTCCCAGGGTTAGGATGTAGGTTTATCTTTTGGAGCTTGTTACACTCTGCCATCCTAGGAGTGCGCAAGGCCCTGCTGTGCTGTTTGGCTGTTTGACATCCTTCACTTGGTTTCTGGGGTTGGGCTCAGCACTGCAGCTCCAGAAGGATGTGACTGCAGCAGTCACTACCATGGCTGTCGGTTCCTGATGTTAGGAGCCCCAGAATAAAAAGGCATCAAAAGGATATAGGAGTGGCACAATTAATATGGACCTCCAAACTGGACCAGTGGTCATTAGTAACAGAAAGCTGGGTGTGGTGACTCACAGCTGGAATCCCAACACTCAGAGGCAAGAGTGAGCCTAAGTTCCATCGTGAGTCCCAGGACAGCCTTGTGGGCCACAGAGAGACTTTGTCTCTAAAAAAAAAAAAAAAAAGAAAAGAAAGAAGAGAAAAAGACAACAAAATCCTGGAGAAAAGACAGAAAAGGTTTTGGCTGTGGTGGGAAAGGGGCCATGACTCATCCTATGAGCTCTTTCCCATATAGGGAAACTGAGGCCCAGGAGAAGGAATGCTAAGGGACGTGGCCAAGATCCCACAGCTCAGGAGGGTCCAGCTACAGAGGGTGGGGAGAACCAGATGGTTCTGGCTGTAAAGCAAGGTGAAGAGAGGGCTGACTCCTTCCCAGAGCCCAGAGGCACTGAGTTTCTGTCCCCTATCAGAAGAGCCCTAGGCCACACCTGAGTTCTCTGAATATAGGGAACAGATTCATTCCACCTGGCCCTTGTCCCTAGAGGTGGGCCTGGTCAGGCTTTTCACCGCAGGGATGAGAATGATCCATCCCAGTATTCTCCAGGTGGAAACCCAAGACTTGCTTCTGAGACTGTATCTCAACTTCTAGAAGAGGGAGAAGTTGTTGTTTAGCTTTACTTTATGTGCATTGCTATAAAGGTGTCAGATCCTCTGGAGCTGGAGCTACAGACAGTTATGAGCTGCCATGTGGGTGCCGGAAATTGAACCATGGTCCTCTGGAAAAGCAGTTGGAAGAGCATCTCCAGCCCCCAGAAGTTGGTGTCTTTAAATTTTGAGTTAGGTGAGGCCCTGACTGAGGGACAAAGGCAAAGGACCGGCATGATTGCACGATGGAGGACAGAGGATAGAGCAGGGAAGCAGCTCCTGCCCGATCGCCATGGTTACCCCTGACACCATGGCACCAGCAATAGCTCTGAGACCAGTTCTGGCCACCCTGCCCGGTGTCAGTCCACGGCAGTTACGGCAAAGCCAGGACAAGCCAAGGGCCCTGGGCTCAGGTCAGTCATTACTCCAGCAAAGCAACTTCACTGTTCTGAGTTCCCTGAAGAACTCCCAAGAAAGTTTTCCCTGAGACAAACGTCACCTTCAGGTCAGCCAAGCATGACAGTAGGCCTGTGGGCCCATGCTGACCCGGGGGAGCCTTCACATGGTCCTAATGAGTGTGGACATGTTAGGACCTGTGCACAGCCTTACCCCAGTGACAGTGGGGGAAGCAAGTGTGATGGGGTGTGTGGTTCCAGACGCTTCCACAAGGCTGAAGGCCGGAGCAGCTCTCACGGCTCTGCTGTCCTAGTCACTGCAGTGTTAAAATTTCCCATGTAGGGAGAAGGGTGAGAATAAACTTATTACTGAAGCTGCTTGTCTTCAAGTATACTTGTGTATGTTTTTAATTGAAAAAAAATCCAATAAATTCACCAGAGTCATTTGCCACCAAGCCTGATGACATGATTGGATCTCCAGGATTTGCATGGTAGGCGGAGAGAACCAACTCTCAGGTTGTCCTCAAACCTCCACGTTCATATTATAACATTCACACAACTATAAATACACACAGAATAAATAAATATATAAATAAAATGTAATAAGCACTTTTTAAAGTCCAGGTTGGGGCCATCATATGCCTCTAATCCCAACACTTGGCATTCCTGCCAAACAAGAAAGACTTCATGTTCAAGGGGCTACATAGAAAGACTCTGTCTAAACCAACCCAGTTTGAAGGTGTCATGGTGGCACATGCCTGAGTTTCAGCACTTGGGAAGTAGAGGCAAGAGGATCAAGAATTCAAGGTCATCGTCCTCCACAAAGTGTGTTTGAAGCCAGTCTAGGCTCTGTGAGACTTTTCCCAAAAACAAACAAAAAAAATTAATTTTAAAATTCATATTTAGCTGGGCGGTGGTGGCGCATGCCTTTAACCCAGCACTCAGGAGGTAGAGGCAGGCAGATCTCTGAGTTCGAGGCCAGCCTGGTCTACAGAGTGAATTACAAGACAACCAGGGCTATTCAGAGAAACTCTGTCTCAATAATCCAGAAAAGCTGCCTTTTATTCTTCCATTTGAGGACGGTTCACAGAGTTGCCCGCTGCGTGCCCAGTCCTTCCTTTGCCACACTGGGTTCCCAGCAGAGCCCTTGTCAGTGCAGTCCTGGCCTCTGGGTTTCCAACCCGGTGAAAAACACCTGCACTCACTCTGTTCTTAGTGTTGTCTGCTCCATCCTTGCCTGTGTGGGTAGGTGGGGCTGGACTGGACACAAACTCCTCCCCTCCTGAGTGACTCTGGGCTTCAGGATATAGCAGACAGAACCCCATTCACACCAGCTCACACAACCTGGATGAATGTCAAAGGCACTGCCTGTCCCATCCCTGCCATCCTACTGTCCTTATGTTGGTTTCATTGTCGGACAAACCCTTGCTTGGAGGAACCAACCTGTTGGAGAGCCGCCTCAGAGGAGAATGGATCTCCTACAAGCTCCATACAGTTCTGGTCCCAAGGCCAGCCTCTGAGCACTATGGGTAGACTAACAGGAAAAGCCTGCCCAGCAGCTGGGGTGCCGTCACCCACCAAGTGGACACATGTTCACTGAGCAGGTACTGGGTTTGGATCAGTCAGGAACAAGACAAAGCCCAACATCACCACCATGGAGCTCGTACACCAGTGCTGGAGCAAAGAGCTGATGCTGGGAAAATGGTGCCACTTGTCTGGCATGCTGAAGCCCTGGGTTCAGTCCCCAGCACTGCATAAGCTGCATATGCCTGTCATCCTAATTCACTGCAGGAACCGCAGGTTCAAGGTTGAGAAGACCCAGGTCAGAACAATCACAATTTAGCAGATTAGGCTCCTGAACCAAATCGGTCAATAAAGGCTTATTAAAACAGCTGTGCTCATTCACTTTCACATCGTTGCTGGCCACTTCAGCAGGATTTGAGTATCTGAGGCTCAGAGCTGAAAACCGTTACCCACTGGTCCTTCACAGAAGACGTTGGCTGACTCCATACAGTAAGGGCACACAAAGGCCACCCTCTTGTCACACAGGAGCTAAACACTGGGGAGGCAGTGGCTGTCGGATCTCTGCGAGTTCTAGGTCAGCCTGATGTACATAGTTCAGGACAGCCAGGGCTGTGTAGAGAAACCCTGTCTTAAAAACACGACAAAACATAACAACTCGCTCTGGAACAGAAGATCACACGTAGAGTTTCTGAAGCCTACCCACCCCCACCCTGTGACACACCAGCCCCTTCCCCTTCTGTGTTCCTGATCCCCCCCCCACACTCCAGTCCCCACAGAAGCCACTACCAGCAATCGAGGGAGGACCTGAAATCCTTGAGAAGGAAGTTTGTGTAATCCATCAAGAACACATTGTGTAATAATTTGGTTCTCCCTGTATGCAGATTACAGTGTTGAGTAATTCAGGGTGCATGTATATGCAAGGAAGTTGTGTGTGGTGTTGTATGTGTGTCTCTGAATGACAGTTGATGAAGTAATCACCCAGCAGTGCTTCCTACTATGTCCTGTTTTGTGATAATCCAGTTCATAAGAACTACATTGGGCTGGAGAGATGACTCAGCAGCTAAGAGCTCTTGTTGCTCTTGCTGAGAAACCAAGCTCAGTTCCCAACACCCACACGGCGGTTCACAGACATTCCTAATTCCAGTTCCAGGAGATTCAGTACCTTCTTCCAGTCTTACATGTCATACACAGATATACATGCAGTCATTCATACACATAAATGATAAATAAATGTTGTCTTTCTCTGCCCTGCCAGCCAGCTCCCAGATCACAACATGGAGACTTATTATGAATTAGGAAAGCTTGTCTGATGGCTTAGACTTGTTTTCAGTTAGCTCTTATAACTTAACCCATTTCTGTTAGTCTATGTTCTTTTATGTGTTACCTTGACCTTGTAATGCCTCTGCTGCTTGCTCTGAGTCCTGGTGTCTCCACCTTCTTCCCAGTGTCCTCTGTGCCCGGAAATCCTGCCTAGTTATTGACCATTCAGCTTTTTAAACCAGTCAGAGTGATACATCTTCACACAGTGTAAAAGAATATTCCACAACAAATAAGAAGCAAAAAGAAAACTATATAAAACCAGGTGTGGTGGCTCACACATTTAATCCCAGCCCTCGAGAGCCAGAGGAAGGCGGATCTCTGTGAATTCAAGGCCAGCCTGGTTTACAGAGTTCCAGGACAGGCTCCAAAGCTACACAGAGAAACCCTGTCTTGAAAAGTCAAAAGGAAAAAAACAAATCAAACAACAAAACTAACATGCTTGGGTGGGTATGCCTGCACAGTTACTCGGGAACAGATAGGAGGCCACCAGAGCCTGGGACTCCCAAGCAGCCTGGGGAACACAGCAAGAACCTGACTCTGCCAAGGCGCAGGGAGCACGGAGCTCCAGGTATGTACCATGTCTGTGCTCTGCATAGGTGCGGACAGCCACAGCAGAAGAGTGAATCCAGGTTAATATCGTGCCGGGCATGGTGTGAATCTAATTAAAATGAGAAGTGCTGCCAGGCGGTGATGGCACACACCTTTAGTCCCAGCACTTGAGAGACAGACAAGTGGATCTCTGTGAGTTCAAGGCCAGCCTGGTCTACAGTCCAGGGAAGGTTCCAAAGCTGCAGTGAAACCCTGTCTTGATACACCCCCCCCCCCCAAAAAAAAATGTGCTCACTGCACAGTTGCCTTTGCCAGGCAAAGTGCACACTGCTTTCTGCCAGACTGGATTTCATAAAGGGAGCTCATATAGCCAGGTGTAATGGCAAGCCCCGATAATCCCAGCGCGCAGAAGGCTTAGGCAAGAGGGTGCCAAGTTCAAAATGGACTACCTGGTGAGAGTCCATCTCAGAAAGAAAACAGCAGCCTTTTGTAAGGGAGGAACAGGGAGCAGAGCAGCTGCTGTGGTGACCCCAGGATACAGAATCAAACTCCACTTCCCTATTATGCCTGCTCAGGTGGACCCCTGCCACTGATGAGCTAGAGAAACACTTCTGCTTACTGACTGCTGCTGAGGCCTCTGACTAGGGTGTAGGTGAGGGGACACTACAAGAGAGTCAGAGCCTCCTGTGTGAGTTAATGCTGTTGAACACATCTGCTCGCCCAGAGTTCTCAGACCAGGTGGGGAAAGCTGGTGGGACCTGTTTTCTTCGGATTCTTCTGGACCTCTCTGCAATGTCCCTCCCTCCAGGGCAGGGAGCAGCACCCCTCGGGAGTGGAGTCCTGTGACCGGCTATTGCACAAGGAAGGAGCCATCATAAGATTTTTTTTTTTTAAATGACCCAATAGAGTTACCAGAACATAGTTACCAGAACAGTTTCTCTGGTCAGCGTGAGGAGGTCAGTTCTAATCAGGAATCAACCATGAATGAAAACTCCAGCTGAGCCAGGCGGTGGTGGTGCAGGCCTTTAATCCCAGCACTCAGGAGGCAGAGGTGGGTGGATCTCTGTGAGTTCAAAGCAAGCCTGGTCTACAGAGCTAGTTCCAGGATAGCCACAGCGGTTACACAGAGAAACCCTATCTCGGACCACCGCCCCCCCAAAAAATATAAATAAAAGAAAGAAAATAAATAAAAAACTCTAGCTGGCTGCAGTGGTGGATACCTATAACTCCAGTACTTGTGAAGCTGAGGCAGGAGGATAGCCTGGGCTACATAGTTGCAATATTCTGTCTTAAAACAAGGAGAGGGGGGGACAAAATGACTCCAAGAATAAAGCTGCCTGTAGTCAAGCCTGAAGACCTGAGTTCAATCCCTGAATCACACATGTTGAAAGAGAGAACAGACTCCCTGCAAATGCTCCACACAAGTGCTATGTGCTGTGTGCTAGTGCTATAAGCACTAGCACGCCCAAGAATAAAATGTCAAAGATAAATGTAAGATCAAGTGAAGGCTGGCAAGATGGTGCAAGTGACCCACAGTGGAAGAAAAAAGCCAACTTCTAAAAGTCCTCTGACCTCCACATTCTCAAAGTGGCACATTTGAGATACACACACACTGATAATAAATTCAGTGTAAAAATAAATGAAATAAAAGAGAAACCAGGCATGGTGGTTCATGCCTGCAATCACATGTGTACATAAGCACGCATGCACACACACACAGAGGAAGAAGAAAAAATGCCCAAATGAGGGAGAACAGAAATTCTGTCATTAGCAGAAACTGCTAGTGTGCTGCCAGTGCCTCTGGACAGTTTAATGGACTGGACATTCCAAGGACTTTCAAAGAGGGTCTCTCAGGATCCCAGGGCAAAGGCCAGACCTCTGTGTCACTAGGCTAGTCCTTGACTATACCCGGGATGAAAGAGAGAAGGGTGAAGGTAGGGAGACAACAGATATCCCTCAGCTACCCTGTGGAGCACAGACT